TTACCAGTTCAATAACTCCAGTCTCACTTTTCTGCCAGTTCACCAGCTCATAAAAAGCCACCGGATCCCCATTAGCATCAAACGACACATGGTAGCCATTTTTTGAGAAGTTTACTTTTTTTAATTCAGTAAAAACCTTCAAATGAAAAAAGGACATCATGTAAATATAATTTCTCAATTAAATTAATTTCACATGAACTCACCATTCTAATAGCTCAATTAAAATTCTAAAGACTGACCTGTTTGGGCTCCAGTCCAATGTGTTTGTCACATTGAACAGTTGCATTTTTTTCTTCACACACTGCATTGTGAATGGCATTTGCTATTGAATAAACAGCCTTGTACATCATGTTAGTAACTCTTAACTGAGATGTTTCAGTGTACGGGCTCTTAAGGGTGTTTAGATCTTCTGTACCGTCACATTTTCTGTTTTTTGGATCAGCTGAAAAAAAAAAACAAATCAGTTATAAATGGAGAGGGCAGCATTTCATGGTAATTGTTAAAATGGAAAAAAAGAAGTAAAATCCCACTACAAATTCATATGTAAATACATAATTATTGCATTTCATGTTCCATCAAAGTCCAAACTAAACAAAGACAAAAGTTAAAGAAAAATAAACAGCAGGTTTCTTGTAAATTGTCTGCCCTACACATTCCTGCTTAAAAATCGAAAAAGGGTAATATAGTAATACAATATATTCCAGATAAAATAATATTAAATAAAATACAAGGAATAAAAAAATCCAATGTAGGGTTTTTATTATAGAGAACAACAAAAATTAACAAAACTTTTACTTTGGTGAGATGCTATAGAAGGTTTTCAATGTTATTGTATATTTGTAAGCAGATCTTTGTCTTTGAGTTTTGTGCCCTATTTAATACAAAAAGAACACCTAACAGGAATAGATCAATTTGTATTGATAATGAGAGACGCCTTTTTTTCTTTCACTGTTTTGGCTAAATAAAAAAAAAAAAAAAACCTTCTCACTGTCTGTCAAGCTGCAGTTGAATGCATCCTCCCAGAACTCTGTCAGCATTGAGGAGGCAGCCGCTTCAGAGGGAGATAGACTGAGAAGGAAGTCTCTCAGAGTATTTTGAATCTAAACTACTTACGAGAGGAATGTTGAAGGGCCCCATGATGCGTGACATGCTGATGGATGGAGTGGATCCAGAGTCTCCCACAGCAGCCACCACCACTCCAGACTGGGAACAGTTATTTCCTTTGTAAACCACAGGATCCAGACCATTTGCCAACTGAAAAGCAACATGCACCGAGACCGGCACCGAGACGCAGGAATCATAGAGACGATATCCGAGTTTGATGTCGGGCAGCAGCTCTGTGCTGTTGTTTATCTCCTCAATGGCAAAGATCATTGTGCGGAAGAAGCGCAGCCCCCGGGCATTGAAGCTGAAGAAAATTATTGAGTTGTAACAGCCATACAAAAGCTCTAAAAAAAGGGCTCATAAAATTCAAAAGACATTTCAATGTGCAAAACATTAAATTGTTGCATAATTTTATGCAATTCACCTGTGCATCGTAACTAAAATATTCAATCTATTCAGCGACATTTACTGTATTATTAAACCTGTTGAGCAAGTTTAAAGATTTATATTTTAGAGTTACATTGCAATTAGATTTTGCAATTCTAAAATAATTTAACAGTAAACATGGATTGGAGACAGGAGCACGTTTCAATAACAACATGCTATTGCAACACCAAGAACGTGAAGACAAACTTAGCATAAAACGTAAAACAAACACATAACATCATCTTCCTTTGTTGGAGAAATTGTGATATTATTAATCAATTATTTGTTATTCTCATTGATCTTTATAATGTATCTTTAATTGATGCTTTCCTTAAAGTTAATCTCATTATAGAATTAAGAATGTTTCTTGTATTGTTGATTTACTCTGATTCTTTTCTCAGAAGGCCTCACTGACAGAGAGCAGAAACAAAATCTTCCTGCAGGTTTACCTCTTGGTGAAGAGCTCTGCTTCGGTTGAGTTGCTGGCCTCCAATAAAACCATCATTGCTAAGATCACTACATATTTTATTAATCTTTGTGCCTGGAAGGAGATTATCTAGTACAGAATGATTGTGTGTTAGTTAGTGAATAACATTTGACGCTGTAGCTGTTTGCCCCCTCCCTTTAGAGCTACAGCGTCCTTGTGATTAGGGATCCTAGAAACAATAAAATAGAGGAGCAGACAAAATGTGCTTCAGAGCGGTAGGAGATTGTAACTGAAGCACATCTCTGTCCGTTCTCCTCGCGAGTGAAAAAGAATCTAACTCTTTTGTCTTTTCTGTCTTTGTTAATGTATGTTTAACAGGTGTTAACCCTAACATCCTTCTTACTGACCTCCCTGTGCATGTTGGAGCCTCAGGTTTGGTGGTGTAATTATAAATCACTGTGTAAAGTTGGTAATGAATAGAAGAAACCCCTCCAACGATAAAGTCGCCATCCTTTGAGAACGCAGGTGAACGAGGCGTACCCAGCAGAGTACACCTGATGGATGAAGCCTCAGTGCTGACTCCAGCAACTTTAGAAGCCTCTGCAGGCTCGGCTTTCTGTTTCAGAACATTTACAAACCCACCCAGCAGAACCTGTGACATCAGCTCCAACAAGCTGACAATGAATCCCGGATGTACAAGAAAAGTCCACATCTCTGCTCCTTGGTCTCCTTCAGATGGGTGTAATTGTCGTTTTAAAGTTTTATAAGCGCTTACCTCTTGTCACGGGTTGGAAAGAGGGTGGGTTCACATCCATCTACGTATCTGAAATCATGTTTCAGATAACTTACATTCAACTTCACCTTAGTATATGTTTAATTTAGCATTGTACATGTTATGAAAAAAAAAATATAATTGGAAAAGATAAAGCTCTTTGTGAACTTTATCTTTGGTTAAAGTTCACAACTGAATTTGAGGTACAAAGAAATTTTTAATTTGTTGTAAAAAGGAAGCACACAGGTTGTGGAAATATTGTTCATGCATAAAAAATAAGTTTAATCAAAGTGGGAAAACCACTTTGATGAAGTGATTTTCCCAATAGACACTTTGAATGATGTTGAGTGTTACAAGTTTTTAAATAATGGGATTGTCACCCAGCTCAATAGACTATGATATCTGTAACTACTGTGTAGTTATAGGGCAGATCCAAACATATAAAACTACAAAACATTGTGGATTATATGGGAAAACTAAATGCTAAGCTATTTCTTCCATTTGCAATGAAGCCTTAAGGCTACTTTTACTATGATTCCTCATTCTCTTCTTTTGTCTTAGTCAGAGGAGTCACAGCTGTTCTTTCCAGAGGCGGGGGTCACCCCATCAATGTACTGACTAGCCGACACTGCCCCCTGCTGCTGACTTACAGCTGGAGGACATCGCTGCAGGTACAACAGCTTCCAAAACTCCACTGCCTCCACGATCCAACGCTGATGTCTCCTGCAGTCCCTGCAAATGATTTTAGCCTTTCCTAATCCATAACGTGGTATTACAGTGGTCCGCCAAAGCTGACGCTTTTCTTGATTTTGCCCTTTCATAAACCGTCATGCTGTAAACATAAAATGGCTGCCATCAACCCTAAATGACCCAAGACACTTGTTATAGCATTTCCCACATCTAAACATGTCTTAATAAGACATTTCCATATTGGGGCAATAAATCCTACTGATGTAGATACTGACAGATTATTAGGACAATCAGCTACTATAGAACAGGTATAGATGTTCATAAGGTCAACCCAAAGCAAAAGTAATTTGCTGTGCAATGCTGTTCCAGAAGAGTACAAAACCTAAAAAAAAAATCACAACCATAAATCCATCCTTTCTCTTTTGTTAAATTTGAGATCAGGTTGTGGAGCAGCAGCCTAAGCAGAGGTGCAGATCTCCCTTCGCCTGGCCAGCTGCCTGTCTGGCAGTCATATCAGTAGTGGTTTTCTTCTATTTACATTTACATGAGTTACATTTCCAAGTATGTCTTTTTTATGATTGTGGTTATGTGTCTTTTGATAGATCATAAAACAGCTTTAAAAATGTTTTCCTTGACTATACTTTTAACAACCTTTATAAGTTTCTAGAACTTCACTGGATCATGGCAAGTTTGGTATGCATTCTTTCTTTTGGCATTTGCCAGGAACGTTTTTCTACGTTTTTTACTCTGGAGATGTTTCCCTGAGGCCAACAAAGGCCTACACAGTCACAACACTTAAAAAACAATAATCTCACGGTCGTCGCTGCCTCTTCGTTCATTTTGTATGGAACTTGAGCGATGAGGCGAAAATCACTTGCCCTCCTCCAGCCAAGCGACGAGCGAAAGTCGAGTATGTGGAATTTTGAACTCGTACACGTAAATGTGGACACCTGGGTTAATGACGCAACACAAGGAAGTGAAAAATTTTTCAACTGTTCCCACTCCTGTCGATGCCACTTTGCGATGGGTTCACCCTAAATGATGGTAAACATTTGCCGTTTGCTACAGTTCACAATTTCCTGTATGTCTCACTATTACCAACCAAAATACCACACAGGAATGGTGGCACAAAACATAAAAAGTGCTGTGAGCAGTTAAAAATGGTAGCAGTGGTAAAATATCAACAAAAATTAAAAGTTTTTTTTAAGAACAAGACTATTTTCAAAGGTGATAAAATGTAGGGAGGAAATAAACAATATATAACTAAATCCCATGTCGCCAGTGTCGTACGTGGGTTGAACGAACATGTGACTTACAATGAGGGAGGTTTATAAAGCCAGGAAAAACAGAGTTACTCTCAAAAGATAACTTCGAGGGATGGAGATCTGGACTGTTTTTATTAGCTTGACATTAGGAGTGATTTTATTGGAGCTGAGTTCAGTGGTTCACCTTAGCGGGGCTGTGAACGGCTTAAATCAAAAGTTTAACCCTGTAGGGGTTGACGTCTCGATTGAGGCTTCATCTTTGAAATGTTCACTCCAGGGTGCCACTCGCTCACCTGAATTCTCACAGGATGGAGACTTTGTCATTGGAGGTGTTTTCTCAATTCATTACCAGCATAATACAGTGATTTATAATTACACCTTCAAGCCCAAGCCTCCGATGTGCACTGGCAGGTAAGTATGAGTGACCGACTGAAAACATTAAATGTATGATGCATGTTTGCTGCAATGGTTGATGATAGAAATCTTAGATTTTTATTTCTTTACAAATTTTGTCTCATGTTAGACATAAAGATTTCAGTCTAAATATTTTCAATTCTTCAGCTTTCTTACTATTTGAAATACGACAGAGACCATTTTGATTCATTGACCCAATTGCATACAACTGTTCCTTACATAATCAATGTCTTTTGAATTTAATCAACTTTTTTCAGTTTAATGTAAACATCAGCAATAGCCAGCGTGATTTTTTTTTTTACAGCTTGAATGTCAGGAGTTTGCGATTCTCTCGTGCTATGGTCTTTGCCATTGATGAGATTAACAACAGCACCGAGCTGCTGCCTGGCATTAAACTTGGATATCAGATCTATGATTCTTGTGTCTCGGTGCCTGTGGCAGTGCACATCGCATTTCAACTAACAAACCGCCAGGACCCCGTGTTTTACAAGGGAGATAACTGCTCACAGTCTGGAGTGGTGATGGCCGCTGTTGGAGACTCTGCATCCACTCCAACCATCAGCATATCCAGCATTGTTGGGTCCTTTAACATCCCTCTGGTGAGCTCTCTGAATTTATTGAAAAATGCAATTCTGAAATGTTCCTGTATTGATAACTTATTTATACTGTAGGTGAGCTACTTTGCCACTTGTGCCTGCCTGTCGGACAAACAACAATTCCCGACTTTTTTCAGAACGATTCCCAGTGACCATTACCAAGCTGATGCTCTGGCAAAGCTGGTGAAGCACTTTGGTTGGACTTGGATAGGTGTTGTACACTCAGACTCAGATTATGGAAATAATGGCATGGCCTCTTTTCTTGAGGCAGCTCTGAGAGAGGGGATCTGTGTGGAGTATGTTGAATCTTTCTTCAGAACTGACCCGCAGAGCAAGATCCAAAGAGTTGCAGATGTTATCCGTAGGTTTGTACATTGATTTTTGTTGTCTCCTGTCAATTTTGTAATTTGAATATAATTTTAAAGATTACCTCAGTCTGAGCTTTAAACACTTGGCTCTGTCTTTTCAGTTCAACAGCAGTGGTTGTTGTAGCGTTTACAGCTATAGGAGAAATGAAAGTCTTGCTGGAGGAACTGGCCCGGGATCCTCCTCCACCTCGTCAGTGGATCGCAAGCGAAGCCTGGATAACTGACCCAAACCTGATGAGATTCAGTTTCTGTGCTGGAGCCATCGGTGTAGCTATTCAGCAATCTGTCATCCCGGGTCTGAGAGACTTCCTTCTCAGTCTATCTCCCTCTGAAGCGGCTGCCTCCCCAGTGCTGACAAAGTTCTGGGAGGATGCATTCAACTGCAGCTTGACAAAAAGTGAGATTCTTTTTAAATTGGTATTTAAAATAATACTTTGTTCAAAATGCAAAAGGATTTTAAAATGTTCTCTATGTAATTGAAAACAATGTCCCCAAAGTAGCATGTTTTGAAACAATTTTATTTCTTTGCAATTTGTAATGTTTTTGTATTTAAATGTTACCTAATAAATACAGCATATTAATATATTTTTTTAGCTTTCTCAGACAAGAGAGTGTGTGATGGAACTGAAGATCTGAACACCCTAAAAAGCTCGTACACAGAAACATCTCAGTTAAGAATCACTAACATGGTGTACAAGGCTGTTTATGCTGTAGCTCATGCCATCCAGAATGCAGTTTGTAACAAAACAAATGGATTATTGCAATGTGACAAACATGTCAGACTGGAACCCAAACAGGTCAGAATATTGCACATTTACAAGTTTTCATAAACCATCACAAAATGGTTATATATTTCCAGAGTCCGTTTCAGTTTCTCTTTTTTTACTTTAAAGGTTCTTAAAGAATTAAAGAAAGTAAACTTCTCCAAGAATGGTTACCATGTCTCATTTGATGCCAATGGCGATCCTGTGGCTTTCTATGAATTAATAAACTGGCAGAAAAGTGAGAGTGGAGTTATTGAACTGGTAACGGTGGGATATTATGATGCATCACTGCCAAGAGGCCAGGAGTTTCGTATCAACAGAAACTTAACCTGGTTGGATGGTGGGATACAAGTAATAAGCCTAAAAACTTCACAGAACAAATGGCTTGTCAAAGCTGCTTTCAGACTTTAAGATTTTCTCTCTATGACAGGTTCCAGTGTCAGTGTGTTCAGAGAGTTGTCCTCCAGGAACTCATAAAGTGTTGCAGAAAGGAAAACCAATCTGCTGCTATGACTGTATACCATGTCCTGAAGGAGAGATCAGTAACATGACAGGTAAAATCTAATGTGTTTAACATATACAAATCCCTTGATATTGACATTTTATAATCAGAACTTTTGCTTTAATTTTGTGTCTAGATTCTCCTGATTGCTCCCCATGTCCCAGTGAGTTCTGGCCAAACGCAAAGAGAGATGCTTGTTTCCCCAAACCTGTGGAGTTTCTTTCCTTCGATGAAATCCTGTCAATCATCCTGGCTACATTCTCTGTTAGTGGAGTATTTCTTGCCGTCATAACAGCAGTGATTTTCTTCTACTTTAGGGCCACTCCCATAGTCAGAGCCAACAACTCTGAGCTGAGCTTCCTGCTGCTCTTCTCTCTGACTCTGTGTTTCTTATGTTCATTAACTTTCATTGGAGCCCCCTCTGAGTGGTCCTGCATGCTGCGCCACACAGCGTTTGGCATCACATTTGTTCTCTGTATCTCCTGTGTTCTTGGCAAAACTATAGTGGTTCTAATGGCCTTTAAAGCTACACTTCCTGGTAGTAATGCTATGAAATGGTTTGGTCCAACACAGCAAAGAATGACTGTCATGTTTCTCACCTTAATTCAGGTTATAATATGTATCATCTGGTTGGTTGTGAGTCCTCCCTTCCCAGTGAAAAATCTGACCACCTACAAGGAGAAGATCATCCTGGAATGTGCTTTAGGCTCTGCTGTTGGTTTCTGGGCTGTGCTCGGCTACATCGGCCTGCTGGCTGTGTTTTGCTTTGTGTTAGCTGTTCTAGCTCGGAAACTACCTGATAATTTCAACGAAGCCAAGATGATAACCTTCAGCATGTTGATATTCTGCGCCGTCTGGATCACCTTCATCCCAGCTTATGTCAGCTCTCCTGGAAAATTTACTGTGGCTGTGGAGATATTTGCTATTCTGGCCTCCAGTTTTGGACTCATACTGTGTATATTTGCTCCAAAGTGTTATATTATTTTATTTCAACCAGAGAAGAACACCAAAAAACATTTAATGAATAAAAATTAAAATGTCTCTCACAGTCATACAGAGACTGTGGGAAAACAACAGAAAATAACAAGTCATATTGTTTTGTTTTTTTGTTTCTAAAAGCGTTTAATCCTAATTTGTCACAGAAAGAAATATTTAGGAAGATCCATGTTGATCTGTCATTCTGCTGTCATCATAATTTGCTAGTTTATAGTCAAATGAAAGTTATTGGAAGAATTTGGATGTAATTTTGTTTTAGCTTTTCTACATATTTCTGTTAATAAATTTATTTCACAAATTTTTTGCTTGTACAAAATCATTTATGGGAAATTACAAGACAGCAATGGTAGTTCAGAAAAGATTTTTTGCTTCATCACCATCAGATTGTACCACAAATTGTATTTGTATGTCTCTTAAACCTGAAAATACAAATTAGTCATAATATTTTATGTCCAAGGTTCCAAAATTGCCAGCTAGTTGGGGTTTTATTGCACATCTGATTTGTGGCACTTCCATGTGGTTAATCAGATATATAACCAATAATATTAAATGTGTCTGCAAATATATGAGTCATGTTGAGTTTTATTTGAGTTTCATGTTATTAACGTGTTTATGCGTCATAATTCTGCAGCAGAGGAAGAAAGATGTGCTAAATCCAGACGTGAATATATGTCATATTTTTTAAAGCCTTTATTCATGTAATCCAACAAAACATTACATCAATGCATTAAAAGAATATCAAACCTTGCACAAATTTTGTTGAATCTCAAGCCTGTTCTGTAATTTGACACATGTAGACTTAATGTATGTCAAATAAAAAAAATAATTAAAACATAAATGCTCCTAGAAATATATTTATAGAATGTATACAGACATTTCTGACAAAATGTAAGAAGTTGAAATTCCCTGTATCTGATATCAAGGCAAAATTATTAAATTATTTTACAAACTTGTTTTTGGTTTTAGTTTTTGTTCATTAAATGTTTCTTGGTGTTTTTCTCTGGCTGAAACAAAATAATATAACACTTTGGAGCAAATATACACAGTATGAGTCCAAAACTGGAGGCCAGAATAGCAAATATCTCCACAGCCACAGTAAATTTTCCGGGAGAGCTGACATAAGCTGGGATGAAGGTGATCCAGACGGCACAGAATATCAACATGCTGAAGGTTATCATCTTGGCTTCGTTGAAATTATCAGGTAGTTTCCGAGCTAGAACAGCTAACACAAAGCAAAACACAGCCAGCAGGCCGATGTAGCCGAGCACAGCCCAGAAACCAACAGCAGAGCCTAAAGCACATTCCAGGATGATCTTCTCCTTGTAGGTGGTCAGATTTTTCACTGGGAAGGGAGGACTCACAACCAACCAGATAATACATATTAAAACTTGACAAAATGTGAGGGACACAACAGTCATCCTTTGTTGTGGAGGACCAAACCATTTCATAGCATTACTACCAGGAAGTGTAGCTTTAAAGGCCATTAGAACCACTATAGTTTTGCCAAGAACACAGGAGATACAGAGAACAAATGTGATGCCAAACGCTGTGTGGCGCAGCATGCAGGACCACTCAGGGGGCTCCAATGAAAGTTAATGAACATAAGAAACACAGAGTCAGAGAGAAGAGCAGCAGGAAGCTCAGCTCAGAGTTGTTGGCTCTGACAATGGGAGTTGTTCTGTGATGGAAGAAAATTAATGACGTAATGATGGCCAGAAAGGCTCCACCAACAGAGAATCCAGCCAGAATGATTGACAGGACTTCATTGAAGGACAGAAACTCCACTGGTTTGGGAAAACAAGCATCTCTCTTTGCATTTGGCCAGAACTCCTTGGGGCATGGGAAGCAATCAGGAGAATCTGACAAAAATAATAGCATTGAAAAATAATCCTTACTTGATGATTTTTGAAGATATGGATACATATGAAGTATATTTGACTTTACCTGTCATGTTACTGATCTCTCCTTCAGGACATGGTATACAGTCATAGCAGCAGATTGGTTTTCCTTTCTGCAACACTTTACGAGTTCCTGGAGGACAACTCTCTGAACACACTGACACTGGAACCTAACATTGAGAAAATCAAAATGAAATTATTTGAACTTTTTTTGAAAGCAGCTTTCACAAATCTGTTTTCAACCTCCTAATCTAAGAAAATACTGTTTTGGGCTATTACTCGTGTTCCACCTTCCATCCAGGTTATGTTCCTGTTGATATGAAACTCCTGGCCTCTTGGCAATGAAGCGTCATAATATCCCACTGTTACCAGTTCAATAACTCCACTCTCCCTTTTCTGCCAGTTTACCAGCTCATAAAAAGCTATTGGGTCTCCATTAACATCGAACGACACGATAGTCATTTTGAGAAAAATTAACTTTCTTTAGTTCAGTTAAAACCTATGAACGGAGGGAAGGATACAGTAAGAAATCAATAACTTGGTTATAAATTAATAAAAAAGAAATTTATAACTTATTTAAAACTCTGAAATGTACTTATTATTCAAGCTGACCTGTTGGGGCTCCAGTCTGATGTGTTTATCACATTGTGTGGTTGTGTTTGTTTCCTCACATATTAGATTGTGAATGGCATGAGCTACAGCATAAACAGCCTTGTACACCATGTTAGAAACTCTTAACTGAGAGGTTTCAGTGTACGGGCTTTTAAGGGTTTTAATGTCTTCAGTTCCGTCACATTTTCTCTTGTCTGGATCTGCAGCTGCAGGGAATACGAAAGCAACAAGTAAAGTTCTATGATTGTAAACCTCATAATTAGCTTTTAATGTAACACTCATTAATCACTTTTGTACTTTTTCCTATGTCGAATTACGTAGGTGCTCTCAATGAGGTTTTTCAATTTAAGACAAAACAATGTTCATGTCAAAAGCCAAATATCACTACACATATACATCTTGGTAGAAAAAGTAACTAATGCTCAAAAATATCTACTTAATGAAATACATGGTCAGGATACTACTAAAAAAAATAAATGAAATAAATCATTTCTCACTTTTTGTCAGACTGCAGTTGAACGCATCCTCCCAGAATTCAGTCAGTACCGGAGAGGCAGACACTTTTGACGAAGAGAGATCCAGCAGGAAGTCTCTCAGACCTGGGATGACAGCTTTCTCAATGGCCATACCGACAGCACCGGCACAGAAACTAAAGCTCATTAGGTCTGAGTCAGTGATCCAGGCTTCGCTTGCGATCCACTGACGAGGTGAAGGAGGATCTGCGGCCAACTCCTCTAAAAGGACCTTTATATCACCAACAGCCATAAATGCCAGAACAACCTTTGCTGTTGATCTGAAGAGACATGCAATATGTAGATTACATTATTTAGTACTTAAACATAAGCAAATCATTTTGAAGATAAAGACAGTTATGACACCGCTGATCTTATGTAGCTTCAGGTTTCAGTCTATCTCAAAAGACACTAAACAGAAAAACACAATTGTTCATGAATTCAAGTGTGAAAGAACCACTGAAGAATCACAGTGTTCATTCATAACCTTTTTCTCCGATATTACCTTAAAATTTCTGACATGCATGCAAAAATGACAAACTTACTAACCTACGGATAACATTGGCAACTCTTTGGATCTTGCTCACTGGATCAGTTCTGAAGAAAGATTCAACGTACTCCACACAGATCCCCTCTCTCAGTGCTGCTTCTAGAAAGGACGCCATGCCATTATTTCCATATTCCGAGTCCGAGTGGAGGGCTCCTATCCAAGTCCAACCAAAGTGTTTCACCAGTTTGGCCAGAGCATCAGCTTGGTAATGGTCACTGGGAATCGTTCTTAAAAAAGTTGGGAATTGTTGTTTGTCCGAAAGGCAGGCACAAGTGGCAAAGCTGCTGACCTATAAAGATAAGACCAAAGCCAGGTGAATACTTGCACAGAGGTATTTTAAAAAATCCAGTTGACAATCAATTTACACAACCTACCAGAGGAATTCTGAAAGATCCCATGATACGTGACATGCTAATGGAAAGAGAGGACCCCAAGTCTCCAACGGAAGCCACCACCACACGAGATTGGGAGCAATTACCATTTTTGAAGAAAACTGGGTCCTCGCCGTTCAGTAGCTGGAAGGCCACATCGACTGAAACTGGCACTGAGACGCAGGAATCATAGACCCGATATCCAAGTTTGATGCCCGGCAGCAGGTCAGTGCTGTTGTTTATCTCCTCAATGGCAAAGATGATAGTGCGAGAGAAACGCAGACCCCTGCCAGTAAGGCTAAACAAAACATGCTGATGCTTAGATAAAATTGGGGAGGAAAAAAAGAGCAAACAGATCTTCTTCTGGGCATTAAGTAATTATAAGCAATTCATGTGTGCATCAAATTATTGAAGTGCTTCCTGTCAAGGCAACATCGGTATTTCAAAACATAAACTGCATTCAAAAAACAATCTCTATCAAAAGAATCTTTTTTTTTACTTCAACTCAAACTTAATCATATTTTCACTGTAATAACAAAAATACGCAATTTATCTTATTGTGATAGAAAATGTTTAAAGCAACTTAATTATTTGTCTCCAACATCACAGCAAAACTTTCCAGAAAACACATAGAAGATAATTTTTCTCCCTCTCTATCTTACTGACCTTCTTGAGCATCTCGGAGAGTCAGGCTGGGTGGTGTAATTATAAATCATTGCATAATCTTGGTAATGAATGGTGGAAACACCTCCAATAACAAAGTCCCCATCTCTTGAGAATGCAGGTAAACGAGATTTACCCTGCAGAGTACATTGCGCAGATGAGGCCTCAGCAATGACCCCAGAGGTCTTTGACGTTTGTTCGGAAGGAAATTGTTGTTTTAAGCCATTGATACGGCCAGGCAATTCGACCAGTAATGTCAGCTCTAACAAACTCAGAGCCAATTTCAAAGCAATAAAAATGGCCCTGATCCCCATTTGTCAAGTGTCTCAACTTGGATCTTACTGTTCTGTTTGCCGATTTATAAATCCCCTCCTCTCATACGTCAGATGATCTTTCTAAAGGACAGTGCCCTCCCTTTGTGTTTGTTTATGATTGATTGATTGCTTTATTCAGCAGACTCGTGGTCCACAAAGAGATGATACACAGCAAAACGACATATAAACAAATGAAACTTCCACTTTATGTTTATTAGAGAGGTTTTATTAGTGCCGGTTCACCACTTAATGTCATAACAAATATGGGACAAAACAAAGGTGATATTTTAAATAATCTATACAAAAATAGTTTTTGTTTTATTCATAAGTATGTGAACAATAGAGGAAGGTCAGTTTACTAACTTGTATTTTTATCTTAAATGTTTTTGTCATAAACAACTTATATATCCAACCCTCCATTTTCTAACACTCTTGTCCCTAGTGGGGTCGGGAGGTGCCTGGTACAGCTTATATATAAATAAGTTGTACATTTTAACCTGCTACTTCGGATACATTGTCCAGTTCAAATATATATACATCTGTATATAGAGGGTAAAATTCCATATAAAGGGTCAGCACTGCACAGCTGCTGACTGAACACCGCATTCGTTTAAATGCAGGGTAAGCTGAAATGGATTAGCGCAACACAATGAGGCCCTAAGCAGATGATGGTAGAGAGGGTGTTGGAGCAACTCCAAGATATACGACAAGTCCTTGTTCAACACAGAAAGAATAATTGCAATCTTAATCCCGCCTCGCAGGACGTTTCCTTGTTGAAGCCCATCAACGCAGCAATGGAACCAATGGCTGAATTTACAAATGTCCTCTCAAGGAAATAATACGCCACAGTGTCGTGAGGTAAGCTTACGCTGGAAAGGATAGTAGGCGACTTTCTCTCTCTCTTGGCCCTGATGACAGTCAGTATTAAACAAAGTGTATCCAACAGAGATACACCTGCAATCTAAGGCCAACATTTGGCCTTGGATCATGGGTACCATGCCTGCATCAAGGAAGCAAGGGCATTTATTGATCCCAAAAGTTGCCTTGTGCAAGAGCTAATGGACTGAAAAGGGCTAGAAGGAAGTGAAGAAGGTTTAGGTTATGAGACCAAACTGCTGGAGGAAATCTGGATAAACCTACTGCTGCCACACCCACCAAGAAAAAGAGTCCAAGGTGGCTTGGTGACGTTCTTCAAAACAGAAGAGCTCCTCTCGCAAGTAAGGCCCAGGCTACATTTTCAAAAAGAGAGCAGGCTGATTCAGAGCTGACGACGTTCCTTTATGCAGATGCTCTTGATGCCTAATGACTTTATTCATCCCAAAGGTACAATTTCAACGTGCATGAGCAGTACAAGCAGAGTATAAAAAGTAATATCTCAAACAATAAGAGTTCATCAAATTCAAGTCCAATATATAAATATGTGTAAGTGGAAGAAAATTCAGCGCAATTATGTCACTAAACACAAAGAAATCAATTTTTTTGTATTTTTATTCATACTACAAAAGACATGAAACTCCAATCAGACTTCAGTGTAAATTATTTACTACCCCAAAGCGACCCACCATATGCAGAAGCATGTAGACATTGCACAACCACATGCTGTTTACAGTATTAGTTAATAATGGATACTGCCGTCAGTGGATAAATTTGAGCAACAAGAGCTGACTGTATCCCAAGATACTAATAGCAATGTCCTTCCACACCTCATTGACTGCGGTTTGTGATGTGCTTTATTATCACAGATGTTTTTTTAATATTTTTATGGTAACTTTGGAGTGGCTGTGTGGGCCAATCCTGACAGGTTGGGTGGGTCACAAAGGAAGTTGCCCATCCCAGTGTGTGTGCAAACCACACTTACCAATGAGCCTCTTCCATTTCTGACAAACCGTCACAAGACCTAATACAGACGTTTATAAGCCAATAAAAAGCAGCTCACACCCAGCTGAAGACACTTTGGGAATGGATATCTGGGATATCTTTATGAAGCAGAGTTTTGTTGTGACTTTATTGGAGCTGATGATCCTTGTTGAGTTGAGTGGCTGTGCCAATGATCTGAAGCTAAGCACTGAGCTGCTAGTGGCTGGTAGAGTCGACCCTGAGGACTCACCAGTGAAATGCACCTTGTGGGGAACCTCGAGTTCGCCTGCTTTTTCAGCAGATGGGGACTTTGTCATTGGAGGTGTATTTTCCTTTCACTACAAACTGTATACTATGATTTATAACTACACCACAAAGCCCGGCCCACCAAGGTGCACTGGGAGGTAAGAGGGAGACAGACTGAAAAGGAATAATATGAACTGAATTAATGGACTATATATTTGTTATGGAATTTTACTTTTTTGCATAATGTCACTTAGAATATTAGCTGTAGATTGGCACTCTCTAGTTAAACCGAGACTGAAATACTTCAAGGATTTTACTATGCTTAACAATGTTTTTTCATATATATTTTTGTGAGAAATGTAACATTTGCAGAGGCGTGGTTCCTTAATCAAACTATTAATGAATTACATTGTGTACATAGTTCCATTTCATTTTTTAATTTACATTATTTTTTTGTTTTACATTGTATTTTTCAGCCTTCTAATGTAAAGAACAGCTTAAAGTGATGTGCATTCACTCGGTCACTCTCTTATTTTCCTCCTTTTGTGAGACTTTCCTATCTTGTTTTGACGTCAGAGTTCACGTTCTTTGATTTTGCACAGTTTTAACGCCCGGGATCTGCGTTTCTCCCGCACAATGATCTATGCTATTGAGGAGATCAATAACAGCACAGAGCTTCTGCCCGAAATCAAACTTGGATATCAGATCTTTGATTCGTGTGCTTCTGTGCCCATGGCCGTGCACGTGGCATTTCAGCTGGCAAATGGACAGGACTCTGTGTTTTACAAAGGGAGCAACTGCTCACACTCCGGAGTTGTAATGGGTGCAGTTGGAGATTCTGGATCGACACCATCGATTGGGATGTTGCGCATCATCGGATCTTTTAACATTCCACTGGTAAATTTTTGCTACAAAGTTTCTTTTAATATACCTGTGCTTATGTGTATTGCATTAGAAAACCTCTTTTCTTTTGCTTTGTTGTGTGTTTTTCTTTTTATATATAGGTTAGCCACTTTGCCACTTGTGCCTGCCTTTCAGATAAAAAGCAGTTCCCGACTTTTTTCAGAACGATTCCAAGTGATCATTACCAAGCTGATGCCCTGGCCAAGATGGTGAAACACTTTGGATGGACTTGGATAGGAGCCGTCCATTCAGACTCAGATTACGGAATCAACGGCATGGCGTCTTTTCTTGATGCGGCACTGAGAGAGGGGATCTGCGTGGAGTACATTGAATCCTACTTTCGGACTGACCCACGGAGCAAAATCCAAAGAGTTGCAGATGTTATCCGTCGGTTTGTACAGGAATAATTTTGATCAATATATTAACTTGAGACATTTTTCATTCATACTGAGCCTATTTGCTTGCCTCAAGAATGATCAACAAAAACATGTGTTAAGTGTGATGTGTGCTCGTTTACAACAACAGAGTAAAATATCATTCCAGGTCAACTGCAATTGTTGTTGTGGCATTCACGGCCTCTGGTGATATGAGGGCATTATTGGAAGAGCTCGCTCTGGATCCTCCTCCTCCTCGCCAGTGGATTGGAAGTGAGGGCTGGGTCACTGACCCACATTTGATGAGCTTCAGTTTCTGTGCGGGAGCCATTGGAGTTGCCATTCAACAATCTGTCATCCCAGGACTGAGAGACTTCCTCTTGGATCTCTCTCCCTCTGAAGTGGCTGCCTCCTCAGTGCTGACCGAGTTCTGGGAGGATGCATTCAACTGCAGCCTGACAAAAAGTATGACATTTTTTCCTTGAGGAGACAGTAAGATGTAACCACAATGCTCTAAGCATTTAACGTGGCCATTGCCTTTCCTTTGCAATTCCGCTTGATTCTCATCCCTATCAGGGATTTCTTCCATTGAGCTTGATTGGCAACACTTTATTTGAAGGGGAGTGCATAAGACTGGCAATGACAATGTCATAAATACAACATGACACCTTTCATGAACATGAAGAAATCTTTATGAATGAAGTGTCATTTGGTAAATAATAGCATTTTTAAAGCAAAGATGCATTAAAAGTGCCATATTTGCATTAAGGTGTCACTGTTTACAGAAGAAATTCAAAGTTGTCACTTTCAATGGACTTTTAATGAAACATTTTTTATTTCAGATTTTTGTTTTTTGCATAAATTTAGCATTTTTCGTGTTATGTCTCTAGGTTCTGATCAACGAAACAAAGAATGTGACGGAACAGAAAACATTAAAAAACTCTCAAGCCCGTACACCGAAACGTCTCAGTTAAGAATCACTAACATGGTGTATAAGGCTGTTTATGCAATAGCACATGCCATTCACAATGCAGTGTGTCATGAAACAAACGCAATCACTAAGTGTCAAAAAAACATCAAACTCGAGTCGAAACAGGTCAGTTTGAATAGAATGAATCCCAAACTTTTTTTACTCAGTATGTATGAACAGTTTATGTAAAAATAAAATTTTAACTTCAAAATTTCACATTCCATTGATTGGCTAAAGTATGCTCTCCTTTTCTAGGTTTTTTCAGAGATGAAGAAAGTCAACTTTTCCAGAAATGGCTACCAGGTGTCATTTGATCCTAACGGTGATCCTGTAGCTTTTTATGAACTGGTCAACTGGCAAAAAAGTGAAAATGGAGTTACCAAGCTGGCAAAAGTGGGATACTATGACGCATCACTGCCTCAGGGCCAGCAGTTTAACGTTAACCAGAATATTAAATGGCTGGATGGTAGCACTGAAGTAATAAGCAAAAGAAAACCTAATGAACAGATAAAACTTTTGGGAAGTGTTTCACAACATAATGTTTCAAATGATTTCCTAACAGGTTCCAGTGTCAGTGTGTTCAGAGAGTTGTCCTCCAGGAACTCGTAGAGTGTTGCAGAAAGGAAAACCAATCTGCTGCTATGACTGTATACCATGTCCTGAAGGAGAGATCAGTAACATGACAGGTAATGTCAAATATACTTCATATGCATCCATATCTTCAAAAGCATCAAGTAAGGATTATTTTTCAATGCTATTATTTTATTAGATTCTCCTGATTGCTTCCCATGCCCCAGTGAGTTCTGGCCAAATGCAAAGAGAGATGCTTGTTTTCCCAAACCAGTGGAGTTTCTGACCTTCAATGAAGTCTTGTCAATCATCCTGGCTGGATTCTCTGTTGGTGGAGCCTTTCTGGCCATCATTACGTTATTAATTTTCTTCCATCACAGAACAACTCCCATTGTCAGAGCCAACAACTCTGAGCTGAGCTTCCTGCTGCTCTTCTCTCTGACTCTGTGTTTCTTATGTTCATTAACTTTCATTGGAGCCCCCTCTGAGTGGTCCTGCATGCTGCGCCACACAGCGTTTGGCATCACATTTGTTCTCTGTATCTCCTGTGTTCTTGGCAAAACTATAGTGGTTCTAATGGCCTTTAAAGCTACACTTCCTGGTAGTAATGCTATGAAATGGTTTGGTCCAACACAACAAAGAATGACTGTAGTATCTTTTACATTTATTCAAGTTATAATATGTATCATCTGGTTGGTTGTGAGTCCTCCCTTCCCAGTGAAAAATCTGACCACCTACAAGGAGAAGATCATCCTGGAATGTGCTTTAGGCTCTGCTGTTGGTTTCTGGGCTGTGCTCGGCTACATCGGCCTGCTGGCTGTGTTTTGCTTTGTGTTAGCTGTTCTAGCTCGGAAACTACCTGATAATTTCAACGAAGCCAAGATGATAACCTTCAGCATGTTGATATTCTGTGCCGTCTGGATCACCTTCATCCCAGCTTATGTCAGCTCTCCTGGAAAATTTACTGTGGCTGTGGAGATATTTGCTATTCTGGCCTCCAGTTTTGGACTCATACTGTGTATATTTGCTCCAAAGTGTTATATTATTTTGTTTCAGCCAGAGAAGAACACCAAGAAACATTTAATGAACAAAAACTAACATTGGCGTAGAGTTGATATTATGACAGTACCTGGTGAATATATAACATTTAATCATACAAAGTTGCTTATTAGATCTTACCAGAATGACACTTTGAAACCAGAATTTAAAAAAAAGACATCCCACTCTCTTTAAATGTCCATATGTCTAGTTCTGAATGTGATGTTTTTGATTGTTTTTGATGTTTACTTTGTGAGAAAAAAATGATCAATTTTTGAAAAAATAAAATAAAATATATTTCATGCTATCATGAGTTGGAAGCACTCTTTGAAGTAGTGACTGTTCTTGTTTTAAGAGCATCTTGAAGGTTAGATATTTTAAGCTGTTCAGCATTTTCATTCAGCATGCACCTGCAAAGATTTCAGCAGGTGTTCATTATTAGTTAATCGAGCCACCATTATTCAGGTTTTTTTCCAGTTTTTCTGACTACCTGGAACTTAGTGTTGGTTTCCCCCTCCCGGACTCACGCACACACCTGCCCGTTTGGCCTGCACAAAATGTTTTCTTTAAGGGCATTTTCTCTCATTATCATCCACCTTAGGGTTTTTCACAGCTGAATGTCTGCCCCGGGAGATTAAAGGATTTCTAAAACAAAACTACATGAAAAGCAACACTCTAGACATGTTTTTGATGAATGAATAACACTTTAACATGACGAAAAGCTTTTAAAACTCCCTGTCAATTTTACATTTTATGAATAAGTGGTCAGATCTTTCATAGTATGCCTCTGGACTTGCTTGTGGTTTTACTCCTACTCAAACCTTGGCAGTAGGGTTATTATGAATTTCAGCAAAGATACAAAATAACGTGACAAAAAAGAATGAAAGAGAAAAAGACCAGAGGAAGACACGCCTCGAAACGTCAACACCCAGAGATCATCCAATTAAAATGGTCAATCTCAGGCTGCTGGTAAAGAATCAAATCTCCTCCTCTGACAGAAAAAGAAATGATATAAGAAGGATGAGACACATGTTGCCTGCACATGAGGGATGGGCGTCTCAGCTTTGCTGACTGGCCTGGCATTGGCCTTGTGCCTGACTGAGGTTAGAACCGTGGCTGGTTTGGGTGGGTCTGGCGGTAACGCTGACGGCGTTAACATTGGGGGGGGTTCATCTTTGAAGTGTACCTTGCAGGGAACCGCTCATTTACCTGCCTTTTCGATGGGGGGCGACTACATCATTGGAGGTGTTTTCTCAATTCATGCCAACATGCACGTGGTAGATAATAACTACACCAGAGCTCCCGAGCCTCTGAGGTGCACAGGGAGGTTAGTAAGTGAGCAGAGGGTGGAAATGATGTTGAACTGAAAAGCTGAGAGTTTTTTTTTTTGTCGTTGACAAAGGCTGTGATAATGTGTCTTAGTTGAATTTTTCTGTTTTAAAATTCTCTTTTAAAACTCAATAACTTTAAAAGAATGAAAAAAAAACCTTTGTAGGGTTAGGTTTTATTGAAAAAGATGATTCCTAAAGTTTTACTTTGCACTGATTTGGACTGTATTGGTCAAGCGACATTTTCTTTTGGATTGCTTTGTAGCAACTCGTCAAATCACTTTGTCTTTAAAATGCATGAGACACTCATTCATACTTTGTGCGTGCAGAATAGACCCTCGAGAACTGCGCTTCTCCCGCGCGATGATCTTTGCCATTGAGGAAATAAACAACAGCACAGAGCTGCTGCCCGGTGTGAAACTGGGATATCAGATCCACGATTCTTGTGCGTCTGTGCCTGTCACCGTGCATGCGGCGTTTCAGCTGGCGAACGGCCATGAATCTGTGTTTTACACAGCTGATGAATGCTCTCAGTCTGGCGCCGTAATGGCTGTTATTGGGGAATCTGGATCCACTCCATCAATCAGCATGTCTCGTGTTATCGGGTCCTTCAAGATTCCTCAGGTGAATAGCTTCATATGTCGTTCTCTGTCGAAGAAAACCGTCTCTCTGCTGCTGAAATTGTTTCACACATGAGCTACATTTGTTGTTTTTGTTTTAGGTGAGCCACTACGCCACTTGTGCCTGCCTGTCAGATAAGAAACAGTATCCAACTTTTTTCAGAACCATCCCCAGCGACCAGTACCAAGCCGATGCCCTGGCCAAGCTGGTGAAACACTTTGGCTGGACTTGGATAGGCGCCGTCCGGTCGGACTCGGACTATGGAAATAACGGCATGGCAGCTTTTCTTGAGGCGGCGCTCAGAGAGGGGATCTGTGTGGAGTACTCTGAATCCTTCTACCGGACCAATCCGCACAGCAAAATCCAAAAAGTCGCAGACGTTATCCGGAGGTTTCTGAATCTGCTGCATGTATACTTTGCATCAAAGTGTTTAAGCAAATCAGACAAATATTCAATTAAAGAAACTGATTTGCCTCATATGATTGCAAAAAATCTGCTATATGTTATGTAATACATTAATAATTTCTCCTCAGATCGACATCAACTGTAGTTGTGGCATTTGCAGCTCCAGGCGACATGAAATTTCTTCTAGAGGAGCTGGCAGAAGACCCCCCTCCACCTCGCCAGTGGATTGGAAGTGAGGCTTGGGTAACGGACCCGCACCTGATGAGTTTCAGTTTCTGTGCGGGGGCAGTCGGCGTTGCCATTCAGCAATCGGTCATTCCCGGTCTAAGAGACTTCCTTCTCGACCTTTCTGTCACACACGTGGCGGCCTCGTCAGTGCTCTCTGAGTTCTGGGAGGATTCTTTCAACTGCAGGCTGAAAAGTGAGACAGTTTACTCACATTTTCCTGAAAAGTAAATGTACGAAGTGGAAAAAATGCAGCTAAAGTGATGACCTGCTGCAGCATATTCAAAAATAGTCTAATTACTTTTGAAACCATACCTTATTGTTATTCTTTGTGTTGAAAACCCCCCCAAAAACTTTCATAATAATTCAACAAACATGTTTAACTACTCAGAATGACTTTTTTCTTACATGTATAAGGATTAATTCCACCTTTTAAACCTCACAAGATCTTTCTAGACTCCCTCCGAAAGTTTTGTTGCATTTTTGATAAGATTTGGTTTTATCATCCCATGTGGTTAGGTTCTGATCAAGACAAAAGGACATGTGACGGAACAGAGGACATTAAAAAACTCTCTAACCCGTACACGGAGACATCTCAGTTAAGAATCACCAACATGGCATATAAGGCTGTTTATGCAATAGCACATGCTATTCACAATGCAGTTTGCCTGAAAACAAATGAAACCATACACTGTGACAAGCACATTAAACTGGACCCAAACCAGGTCAGTTTGAGCAAAGAGTGATTTTAAACAATCCCTTTGACAATACATCCATCATTATTTTTGTTGCGTGGAATTTAAATGCAAATAGTCTGTTTGTTTCCCCTTAATGCTGTGTTGCTTCACAGGTTTTCTCAGAACTGCAGAAAGTAAATTTTTCCAGAAATGGTTATCATGTTTCATTTGACCCTAATGGGGATCCGGTGGCTTTTTATGAGCTGGTAAACTGGCAGAAGAGTGACAGAGGAGTTATTGAACTGGTAAAAGTGGGATATTATGATGCATCACTACCAAAGGGTCATCAGTTCCACATCACCCAGAACATAACCTGGTCAGAGGATAGATCTCAAGTAATGGGACAAGAGAGAAACCTTTACACCTTTGCTTCATTGTTGCTACTTGAGAACATCATTTGTTTTGTGATATAGGTTCCAGTGTCAGTGTGTTCAGAGAGTTGTCCTCCAGGAAGTCGTAAAGTGTTGCAGAAAGGAAAACCAATCTGCTGCTATGACTGTATACCATGTCCTGAAGGAGAGATCAGTAACATGACAGGTAGTGTTAAACATTACTAAACACCAGTTGGGCAAAAAAAGATCAATGCGTTAACAAATGTGTTTGCTTTATATTTATTTATTCATATTTGCTTTATATTTTAGATTCTCCTGATTGCTTCCCGTGTCCCAGAGAGTTCTGGTCAAATGCACAGAGAGATGCTTGTTTTCCCAAACCAGTGGAGTTTCTTTCCTTCAGTGAAATTCTGTCAATCATCCTGGCTGCAGTCTCAATCAGTGGAGCTTTTCTGGCCATCATGACAGCATTAATTTTCTTCCATCACAGAACAACTCCAATTGTCAGAGCCAACAACTCTGAGCTGAGCTTCCTGCTGCTCTTCTCTCTGACTCTGTGTTTCTTATGTTCATTAACTTTCATTGGAGCCCCCTCTGAGTGGTCCTGCATGCTGCGCCACACAGCGTTTGGCATCACATTTGTTCTCTGTATCTCCTGTGTTCTTGGCAAAACTATAGTGGTTCTAATGGCCTTTAAAGCTACACTTCCTGGTAGTAATGCTATGAAATGGTTTGGTCCAACACAACAAAGGATGACTGTAGTGTCTTTTACATTTATACAAGTTATAATATGTATCATCTGGTTGGTTGTGAGTCCTCCCTTCCCAGTGAAAAATCTGACCACCTACAAGGAGAAGATCATCCTGGAATGTGCTTTAGGCTCTGCTGTTGGTTTCTGGGCTGTGCTCGGCTACATCGGCCTGCTGGCTGTGTTTTGCTTTGTGTTAGCTGTTCTAGCTCGGAAACTACCTGATAATTTCAACGAAGCCAAGATGATAACCTTCAGCATGTTGATATTCTGTGCCGTCTGGATCACCTTCATCCCAGCTTATGTCAGCTCTCCTGGAAAATTTACTGTGGCTGTGGAGATATTTGCTATTCTGGCCTCCAGTTTTGGACTCATACTGTGTATATTTGCTCCAAAGTGTTTCATCATTTTGTTTCAGCCAGAGAAGAACACCAAGAAACATTTAATGAACAAACGTTAAGTATCCCTTTTAAATTGTTTGGAAACAATATGGTTGAGTTGTTTATTTTATGATAATTCATGGCAATATATCAACTAGCATTTACATTTGTAAGCAATGTAAAACAAAGATATCAATATCTTTTTTTTTTCTCCATATATGTCTGAATTTACTGCTCTTAATTATAACTCTTACTTGAAAAAACAAACACTCGTGTACAAAATG